GTGCTGCTGATGACGATGATGGTGAGGGTGATGATGATGATGGTGATTGTGAAGGTGAGGATGATGATGATGATGATGCTGTTGATGTCGATGCTGATGCTGATGGTGATGATGGTAGTGTTGATGATCATACTGATGCTGTTGATGATGGCGATGATGATGATGATGATGATGATGATGATGATGATGATGATGATGGTGATGATGATGATGATGATGATGATGATGATGATGATGATGACGACGGAACAGAGTTTGAAGATGTCTCAGGTGAGGCGGTTGTTTTCGCACCCCAGGGGGCCAGATTGCGAGGATGCCTCGAGCGGGTTGCCTGCTCTGGTGGCCAGACTCGTTTGCTTTCAGAACAGATTCTGGGGATGTCTCGGGCGAGGCGCTCGTTTCAACACTGCCCAAGGGGTGCCGCCAACGGGTATCTCACTCTTCCATTCGCGCCCAGATTGCGTGGATGTCTCCAACCCTTTACCAATTTTCTGACCCAACAGCCTCCGCTTTGGGAGCAGAGTCGGAAGATGTCTCGGGCGAGGCGGTAAGCTTCGCACCCCAAGGGGGCTTTGCCTGTTTCCTGATCCAGCATCATTCGCTTTCGGAGCAGATGTGGAGGATGTTTGGAGTCAGGCGTTGGTTTTCGCACCCCAGGGGGCCCGATTGCGAGGATGTCTCGAAGGGTTTGCCTGTTTGGGTGGTCAGACTCGTCTGCTTCCAAAGCAGATTCTGAGGATGTCTCGGGCGAGTCGCTGGTTTCAGAGGGGTTTCTCACTCTTCCCTTCGCGCCCAGATTGCGTGGATGTCTCGAATGGTTTGCCAGTTTCCTGACCCAGCATCCTCTGCTTCCTGAGCAGATGTGGAGTATGTCTCGGGCGAGACGATGGTTTTCGCACCCCACGGGGGCCCCGATTGCGAGGATGTCTCGAAGGGTTTGCCTGTTTGGGTGGTCAGACTCGTCTGCGTTCAAGTCGAACCCTTTGTGTTCTATATGTGTTCCCATACAGCCGAGAATGTGATCAAGAACACTATCACTTAAGAAATCTGGGCCAACTTCCCGGAGGTTTCTGAACAAAAGCCCGGGCCAACTTCTGCCATGCACGCTGGATGGGGCGACCGCGTTCAAGAGACTGGGCCAACTCTCCGGCAAGTCGGTTACGAAACGCAGGCCCAGCTTTTCGGGAGGAGGTTTCTAAATCAGATGCTCGGCTGTAGATTGTCCATCCCCCGTGGCTCCAATCCCATGTGTTTGACGTATGGTCCGACAGATCGGGCCTCCCCCGAGGCACGAATCCTTTGTGTTCCAGATATGTGACTATTGAATACCATTCTCCTGTGGCTCCAATTCTAAAACTTCTACGTCGGTTCCTATCGATTGAGCCTCTCACGGGGCACGAATCCTCCGCAGGAGGCGCTAGGAGGCTACGGGAGGCCCCGGGAGGCCCCAGAAGTCCCAGGAGGCACCAGGAGGCCCCAGGAGGCTCCAGGAGGCCCCAGGGGGCCCCAGGATCCCGATGATGCCCGAGGAGGCCCCAGGAGGCCCCAGGAGGCCCCAGGAGGCTCCAAGAAGTTCCACGAAGCCTAAAGAGGCACAAGCCGACTGCATGTGTGATTACCACTCCCCTGTGGCTACAGCTCTCGGTGTTTTGCGCATGTTCCAATGGATCGGGCATCTCCTGGGGCTCCAGGAGGCCCCAGGAAGCCGCAAGAGGTTCCAGGAGGCCCCAGGGGCCTCAGGACGCCCCAGGAGACCCCAGAAGGCAATAGGAGGCACCAGAAGGCCACAGGAGGCCCCAGGAGGCTCCAGGAGGCTCTGCGAAGCCCCAGGGGGGCCCCAGGAGGCCACAGGCGAGGCGGCAATCCTAAGTGTTGTGCGTATGTTCTTATTGTTTGTGCATATCCTGATACCTCCTGGGGGCCGAATCCTTGGTGCTTCACGTCGCTCCTACAGATGACCCTTCTCCGGTGGCTGTGTTACGCATGTTCCTTCAGATTGGGCCTCTCCTGGGGCACGAACCGTTGCGTGTTACATCCGTTCCTACGGATTGCCCCTCGCCGTTGGCTCCAACCCTGTGTGTGTGTTCCGTGTGTTCCTGTAGATTGGGCCTCTCCAGGGGCACCGCCCCCTTGGTGTTTTGCGTCTGCTCCTGTCGGTTGCCCCTCCCCCGTGGCTCCAGTCCTATAGGTGTCCTGCGCGTGTTCCTGTCGAGTCGGCCGCGCCTCTCCGTCCAGCCACTGCGTGCAGTCTTCCGGGCCAGCCAGCGAAGCGCAAGGGCTTCGCGCACGAAGTTTGCGCGAACTCTCCAATCCCTCGCTTCATCATGCTGGGAGGGGATCGCGCGGCCATCTCAACTCGGCCACGCTGAGTCATGCGCAGGCCACTGACGTGCAGATGCACTCATCCTGAGCCTGGACATGCTCAGACTCACGCGCATCGACTCACTCGTGCTACTGAGACTCGTTCACACTCCAACTCACTCACAGGTAGATTCGCATCCAGCCTGTCAATACCCAATCCCGCTTATAGTCAAAAACTGTTGCGCCTAGACACTGACGGCAGAAAGGGTCCTTGCAAATTAATGCAAATATGGGGAGCTACACGCAGTGAAGAATCTTTGTTCGTCCCTCTGGCATTCGTCATCGTCGTCGTTGTTATCATCGTGGTCGTCGTCACCGTCGTCGTCGTCGTCGTCGTCGTCCTCGCCGTCGTCGTGGTATAATGTTTTTGATCGGCCCCCGCGGCGCTGCCACGTGACGACTGGATCGGAATACGTGTTCTTTGTGCTTTCAGGCGTTTTCACGTAGCGAGTGGAGTGGCATAGTGTTTTGGTGGCCGGCCCCCGCAAAGTTGCCACGTGGCGAATAGAGTGGAATAGCTTTCGTTTCTGGCCCCATCGGCGCTGCCACGTATCAAGTAGAGTGTATGGAATACTGTCTCTTCCCGCCCCACGACGTTGCCATGTTGGGCGTGAAGTGGCTTAGTATAATTGTAGGTCCCCGCGGCGATGCCACGTGACGAATAGTGGAATAGTATTGGATCGGTGTCCACCCAAGCGTTGCCCCGTGGCGAATCGACTGGAATAGTATTTCTCTCAGCCCCCGCGGCACTGCCACGCGACGAGTATTGTGGAATAGTATGTTGCCGCCCGCCCAAGCGTCCCACGTGGCGGCCACCCGACCAGCAAACCAACCAACTTGCCGACCGACTAGCCACCAGCCAACCAACCTGCCAACCAACGATCCTGTTGCGTTGCATTGCGTTGCACTGCGTTGCGTGTGCTTCGCATTTGCAGTACCTTGCATTGCAGTAGATAGCGGGCGAAGAGGAAAACAGGAGGGAGGAGAAGGGAGGAAGATATAGAGGAGGGGAGGAATGAGGAGCGACGAGGGAGGAGGGGCAGGAGGGGAGGGGAAGGAGGAAGGAAGGGGTAGGAAGGAAGGCGGGAGGATGGAGGAGGGGGATGGAAAGGGAGAGGGAGAAGGACGAGGAGGAGGGTAGGATACAAAAATGTTTGTTCGCCTCCATGGCCCTCGTCATCGTCGTCGCCATCGTCGCCGCCGTCGTCGTTCTCGTCGTCGTCCTCGTCTTTGCCCTGGTGGGAGAACGTTTGTTTCGGTCAACGCGGCGCTGCCACGTGACGACTAGAATAGAATACGATTTCTTCGCGCGTACAGGCGTTGCCACATGGCGAGTGGAATGGCATATTATTCGTTTCGGCCCCCGCAGCGTTGCCACGTGACGAATCGAGCGGAATAGTTGTATGTTGTTCTGCCCACCGCGGCGCTGTCACGTGACATTTAAATTGGATAAAATACTGTTTGTTCGCGCCTCCAGGCGTTGCAACGTGGCAACTGGAGTGGGCGAGTATTTTTCTAGGACCCCAGCGGCGTTGCCACGTGACGAACGTAGTGGAAGTGTTTCTTCCTTCGCCCCCGCCAGAAGGTGCCATGCGGCGAATCGACTGGAATCTGATGTTTCTTAGCCCCCGCAGCGCTGCCACGTGACGAGTAGTAGAGTGGCATAGCATCTTGTCGCCAGCAAAGGCGCTGCCACGTGGCGAGTCGAATGGAACATATTTTTTGGTTCGACGTGACGAGATGTACATCCGGTTGCAGTGCATCGCATTTAAGTGCATTACATTGCGTTGCATTGTATTGCGATGAACTGCATTGCATTGCATTGTGTTGCGCTGCAGTGCATGGCATCCTGTTGCATGGCATTGCGTTGAAATGCTTTTGTTTACTTGCGTTGCATTGCGTTTCGTTGCGTAGCATCATGTTGCGTTGCAGTTCGCTGCACTGCGTTGCATTTGCATTGCAGTTGCACTACATTGCAGTGCAGCAGTTTGCGGACGAGGGAAAGGAGGAGGAGGAGGAGGAGGAGGATGGAGCAGAAGGGAGGAGGGTACAGAGATGAGGGATGGAAGGAAGAGGATTGAGGCGGGAGAACTGGGGGAGAAAGGGAAGCACAATAAAAGAAACAACCAGCCAATCTCCCGGGCAAGCTGGCAACCAGCCACCCAACAACCCAACCAACCAACCCAGCCAACCAACCATCCAACCAACCGAGCACCCAACAACCCCTCCTGTTAAACAAAAGGTTTGACCTAGTATCTGGCGAACCAACCAACAGACAAATCGACCAACCACTTCTTGGCAAACGGAAATCCGACCAAGCAGCAAATCAGACAACCAAACAACAAACCAACAAACCCACCCCCAACTTACAAATCAACCTCCAGGATAAAATTGTCCAGACCAGGCAATCGGCGAGCTGATCAGCCAACCAACCCACCCACCAACCAATCCTTCCATGGAATCGTTTTGAAGATGCCACACACGGGGAGCCCTGTAAACAATTTTTCGACGTGGACAAATGTGTTTTGACCCTCGGCCAAAAAAATCGACCCCGGCAGAAAAATATTAACTCTTCTCTCTCAGCCCTGCCCCTCCCCCTCCCCAAGGCAGCGCGGTGGCGGATCTGCGCGGCAGCGCACCTGGACACGCACAGCGACAAACAATCTGCCTTGAGCAAAGCTGGCCCTGAGTCGTTGTGGCGGGGCGAGCCTCAGAGGAGGGAAGAGAAAGGAAACCGAACTCTCTCAAACTGACGCCGCCACACCTGCAGCCCCCCCCCTGTCAACTGTCCGGCCCGTGCATCCCTGAAGAACTGTGCTGCACGCTGGAGGGCCCAACATCAGCGGCACGAGGCCAGTGAGGAATGCGATAAACAGGCAAGGGGGGGAGGAAGATACCTCAACATCCGACGATGGAGGCCCCATGGAAGTCCCGACCTCTTCCTGGGGGTCGCTTTTCGTCCCAGGTCAATCTTTTTGCTGCTGCCCCAGGCCAAAGAGCAGGCCCCCAAAAAACCGAAGTCGGGGACCGCGCCCCGATTGAAAAAAAGGTCCTACCGTCGGAGATCCGGGCAACGCGTCGGAGAGGCCCCCGTGAGGCCTCGGAATGCCTCCTGGAAGGGCAGGGAACGACGACGACCTCGTCGCCGTCGCACGCCTCGGACGGCCTCGAGCGGCGAGAATCCATCCTCAAACTTCAGGGAACGACGACGACCTCGTCGCCGTCGCACGCCTCGAACGGCCTCGGACGGCGAGAATCCATCCTCGAACGTCGGCGACACACGGGAGTGACCCTAGGCAGAGGCGACCTCGAATGCGCGGACCTAGGGTGCGCACCGTGGCCAAGTCCGAGCGCACAGGCAGCCGCTGTCGCTATCTGGCTATCGCTCGGACCTCCATTCCCTGTGTTGTTTTTCGGTTTCGCGCGTGGTTTTTTCGCCAAATGATCAAGGATGCTCCTCGATGGTCCTCGCCGAAGGAAGAATGCACACGTCCGAGCGATGCCAAGCTATTGCCTCGCGCTCCTCGATCGGGGGGAGCCCGGCGAACCCGCACCACAGGCCACTCCGGCGAAGGGTCATCCCTACGTGCACAGGAGGGGCCCGACCACAAGAAACGTTTCACAAGACACCCAGCCCTGAGACCCCAGGACGTCCACGGACTCTTGGCGCGGAGACGCCACGCCCCCCCCAGCAAGACCACCGAGACCCAAGAAACCCAGGGCACTCCAGATTTCGTAATAAAGGGAGGGGGGTATCATTTCGGGGGGGGGTCTCTTCCACGCTATCTTGGAGGGCCTGGGGGGTCTGGGGACGATGTTTTGGAGGGTTCTCCCACGGGGGAGGTCTGAAATGGCTTGTCTTGGAGGGTTCAGACCCCCTCCCTTTTCTTTACGAAATCTGGAGTACCCTGGAGGCAAGCAGGGTTCTTCTCTCTTGGCATGGGTCCCCACCGCAGCCCCGACGAGGGCGCCCCCCTGGGGGCCGAACGAACAACACACACACCCACACCCAGCACGGGCGCCCCGGAGTGGCCCTCATCCCCGGGGCTGCCTCTGCATTCCGAGTCGTCCGTTGGCCACCCCGGGGCCCGGCGGAGAAGGAGGCGGAGGAGGAGGAGGAGGAGGAGGAGGAGGAGGAGGAGGAGGAGGAGGAGGAGGGGGATGAGGGGGAGGGGGGAGGGGGGAGAGGAGGAGCGGGG